GTTTAAGCCATTAAAAACAAGTCATTACACTAAATATGTTACTATACTAAAACCATTATAAAAGAATACAAAATTACAACAAAGAGATGTAAACGCTACACAGAAACAAAATGTCTACAAAGGGACAAACATCTACATATAGATGCAAAACAATCACACGGCCATCATTAGTATGTAAAGTAAACAAATTCATACATTTAATACATCTGCAAGAGTTGATGCATTAATATATATATATATATGTTTTTAAACTGTGGTATTTCTACTTTAATGAGAAATGCGTATTTAATACTAATAATATTTAATCAGATTTATATAGCGCTTTCTAGACACTCAAAGTCGCTTTACACTGTCCATTATTCATTCACACACATTAATTCTGGTGGTGGTACCTATGATTGTAGCCACAGCTGCCCTGGGGCAGACTGATAGAGGTGTGGCTGGCATTCTGCGCCTACTGCCCCTCCGACCACCACCTCAAACAATCCATTCATACACATTCACACCAGGCAAGGTGGGTGAAGCGTCTTGCCCAAGGACACAACGACCATGACACAGGTTACAGGGCGCAATCGAACCGCCGACCTTCTGATCATTGACTGACTTGCTCTCTCACAGCCACCCTGAATTTCTTCCACCATTGGATGGGCATGTGAAGAGAACCTCAAATGCTTTGGTCTTTTAAAGGAAAGCTTCACCGAGTGAGGTGGACCCGTCAGGTCAGATCTGTGTGGCTTTTATTTTATCAATGACTCACCACTGCCGAGATGTCCAGCTGGTAGTTTTGAAAGTTGTCCCCATCTTTTAAATCCAGGGTCACTTTGGCCAAGGCCACTGAAGCACTGAGGTAGAAGAAGGCAGCGATGCCATGATACACAAAGTCCTGACAGAGGAGAACAGAGAACAAGGAAACAGAACATGAGGAACCTTCTCTCTTCATTGGTGATACCAGTGACAGTTGTGTAGAGAATGCAACATTCACCAGCTGTGCTGGCTTTGAGTCAAAACACACTCAAACACAGGGTTACACAATCCTGTTCAAATCGGTGCGTCACGGTGTTGTGTTTCATTCACAGATTAGTTTAGAGACACTAAATGAAATCTGACACAACAGAGTGAATACATGTATCTCTTTAGTCTGATGAAAAAATAAAACACTGGCATGAAATATGTATTAATTACAGTGGAAGCTCATCTCGCTCTAGACTTTAGTTTTCTTTTTCCTACTGATTTGTTAATTTGGTGATGAGGCTGTGTTGAAAGTGCTCCTTATTTGTTTGGTAAAGATGCTTCAGATTTTGAACTACCCTGAAAATTTGATTGATTGATTGATTGATTGATTGATTGATTGATTGATTGATTGATTGATTGATTGATTGATTGATTTTTCGTTGAAAAGTCTAAAACCTTCATCCAAAAGGAGGTTTTTCCAAAACTGTCCACTACTATCATATTCCCACATGGAAACAGTGTCATGCATCATAACCAAAACTAAAAGTAGCATCAGCTGCAGCTACAGACTGTTGCTCATAGAAACTGCTTAGTTGCTTTTTAATTTTAGTCTGTTTTGTCTGTCAGCCACTAACTGTTTATGTTATGATTGCACATTCTTGCTTTTTCCAGCATAAAACTGGGAAGACGCTGCACATTTTCATGAATCCTGTACATTGTGCTAAAACATCCTGCATGACCAGAAACTGCAACTTCTCTGCTCACACAATACAGCTAGATGAAGAGATCACGGCACACACACACACTAAACATTACACTCCGTATAAATCTCACCCACAGGGTTCTTGGACAGGAGTTTGGTGTCTTATCCAAAAATGAGCAAAGACGCAGAGTATGAGTAAAGTGTAGGCCGTTTTCAGATTTCTGCCCACTACTGCTTTGAAAAACAACAGAGTCAGTAAAGGGAGGAGGCTGTGGTAGATGAAGGGGTCAAACACAGGACCTCCTGTTCCAGGACACTCAGGTGCCTTATGTGAAACCAAAAGCCATTGCTGATCATTTGTAGACCTAACTGACTTGTTATTTTCAGTTTGGTTTTTTTTGTTTGTTTTTTTTTAAAGTAATTATTTTTAGTTTACAGTCATGGTTTTGCTAGTCATTACAGAATTTAGCTAAAACCAACAGCTGCCCAGAATGAGGGAAAACAGTAGTGGGGGAATGTACATTTACTCAAGGACTAAATTGTTTGTTTTTTTTTGTGTGTGTGTGTTACTTATAGTTAACTTGAGTATTTACTGTCTATGTTTCTTAAAAAATCTACTAAACTACATTTAAGAGGGCAATATTGTTCTTCTGACTCCATCATATTTTCCAGTCATGCTGTAAATACTGTAGTTGGATAAAATATTAAACTCACCAAAAGTATGTAAGGTTGGTAATAGCAGCTTCACAACATGAAACACTACACAGACAGTCATTTATCTGTGAAATAAATCCAACAATATGTCATAATGTAACACTCTAGTTCTGCTGCCTTATGAGCACTTTTGTATTTGATACTTTTATTTTGTTGATGATGTGCTACTGTACTTTTACTGAGGTAACATTGGGGAGAACTTCCAGTAAAAGACAAAAGTACTTCTTCCACTACTGGAAATCAGTTTACAAACCACATTGATACAGTTAGTAGTATTACAAATGTATTATACACTATAGAGGTATTTTTGTTTTGTAAAATGTGTGGAGGACTTACTGCTGCTGCCCAGCTGCCCTTGTTATGATGCCCCCCACAGGCGAACACCACCATCCAAATAAAAGTCATGACGAAGCAGAAGACTGAGACAAACATGACCCAGCCCTGAGGGTTCTGCGGCACCACCAGCGTGCACGCCACCAGGATCCACACCAGTCCGCCGAAGATCTGCAGGAACACCACAGGCAAATGACAGGATGCCCTGACACAACCGCACAGTCACACTTCACTTATTTTATGAACAGTGATAAAGGTGACATCTTCTAACGTCTTGTTTCATCTGAGCAACAATCAAGTAATATTCGGTTTACTCTAATATAACACAGAGAAAAAGGCTGTAAGTTGGATTTTCTTTTTGTTTGGATTAATGTTTTTTTCAAAATCATTGCAGATAAGTTTTCTTTTGATAATAGCTCATTAAGCTTTAAACTGCTTGTTTCACTGTTTCAGCAGCAACATAGAAGAAGCACATCAGATCAGCTAAATCAGTTTTCGTCATGTTGTTTGAGTTAGATTTTTCCTAATCTTCTATTAAATCTTTTAGTCTGATTATGAAATACTGCAGAGCTTGGTGAGTCTAAACTTTGTTCCAACATTGTTATCTTCCTTTGTGCTAAGCCAGGTTAAACACAACCTGGACCTCTCTTTGTACTGATCACACAGAGATGCAACTGATATTCATGTGACACATCTGACTTGACAGAGGACCAGAAGATGCAGCTAAAGTGTTGAGTTAAGTTTAGTCCTTGAACTACTATAGGACTCTTGCTAAATGAATCCACATGTGACCACAGCTTGTGTTTCCATTATTTTGTCTAGTCTCTGTTTCTAGCTTGCAACACAGAGCAGGGCGTCACTGCCTTCGTTCACTCTACACCTCTAATGATTGACAGGCTGCATTATTCATGGAGCTCGACCCTCCTCCACCTGCTGCCATCACTGTCGGACTCCACCTGCTCACACACTCACCTGAGTTTGAGTTAATGCACGGGTTCATATGAAAACACCTCCAGCATTCTTTCAGTTTGCTGATGTCTCCTGGTGTTAAATGTGCATTATGAAACCAAGACATGCTTCCTCATATCAGTTTGTATTTTCTTTCTGATCTCTGCTCCGTCACACAGGCTCATTGTAGAAATCATATCTCTTCTGTCTGTTGTCTGGCTGCTGTGGCCACTGGCTCCTGACATGCTTAGTCTGCTTGGCGTTTTGTTGTAATACTGATGCTAGAGATTATTCTCCTCCGCACACATTGATTCTGGATCTCCAGTTTCTTTTAAATTCCAGCTGTTCAGCTGGATGGCTGAGTGTCAGCTCACAAAACAAACTCTTAGACCAGTGACCAGTTGGGTGAATTGTGAGACATTACTCTGTCCAGCAATCAGATGTACAATATTTACACTACTTTTGCGTAAAAATGTGTATTTGTTTTACAGTGAAAAAGCATTTGCAGCTATGCCTGCTTACTTAAATTTAAACTCATTCATATGGGTTTAAGGGCTTTAGCTCTTACGTAACTGTACTGGGGATGAATCATAAAAAAATATTTCTTAACCAAAGATTTTTTTAAAAACGTGTTTTGCTTTTAATTTATTCACAGATCATACTTAAAAACATCAACCTATTTTGTGCAAGTTGTTTAGAAACACTACAGATGAAACCAAATGTTCATTTAAAGACATTAAAACAATACATCATGTTTTGATGCTTTCTAGTTTTGACTGAGCCACACTTTAATCCACATGTGATCTTTTCTTTAGTAAATATGCACAGATTTCCCTTTAACTTAAGTACAAACTGCGTTTTGGTTAGAAAAAAAGTAAAAATATATCAACATTTTTCCCCATCAAAAACTGTGTAGCCAGGTAAAGGTGAAATATGACTGAAACATCCAAATCACGAAGGAGCTGCAGGTTCAGCGTTATCATATGAGATCTGTAAGTCAGATCCACTGAGCACATCACTGATGTTTGACTGGAAGGTGACCTCAGCAGCATACTTTCTGCAACAGGTTCACCATAACAAGCAACATGGAATCGCATCGTGCACTGCAAAAAATAGCCTGAAAACACTTTGTTTAATTTTCTTCTTTCTGATGATTTATTTTGGTAACGATCAGACATTCAGTCTGTTGTTTTTGCAAGAAATAAAAACTGCCCCTGGAATTTGAAAAAAAAGGGAGAGAAAAAAATGACTGAAAGTTGTTTTCTCTCTCTCTCTCTCTCTCTGATTTGGACTTGTGTAAAGGAAATTTCATTAATTCTAATATCGTCTTAACGTATTGACTTTTTTTTCTTTTGGGAAGTGCAAGATTCAAAAAACCCAAAACAAACAAAAAAAACAAAAATATATGTTTACTCTTTTAATAGTTTTCTGATTAAATTAGTTTATACGGAATGTTTTTTATCCGTGCGTAAAAACCGCGTAAAAGTGACGCACGGCGCGCACAGCGAGAGGTAGACAGGATAAAGTTCCCCTCTAATTAAAACATTCACAGGTGCTATTTCTTACCAGTTCTGGTAGGTAGAGGATGTCGGGGATAGTTGTACATATTCCGACCCCGCTGGGGAGGTTCCCCATGGTGGCAGTGTTGGAGGCCATCCTGCTGCTGCTGCTGCTGCTGCTGCTCAGACTGACTCGGACTCAGACCAGCTGCGGTTTAAACCAGGAGGAGACGACTGGAAGAACCGGAATCCCCATCAGCCAAGGGCTCAGACACGCCCGGCGGCCCGTACCAACCCAGAGTGCTCGTTCGCCGGATGAGCTCCGCCGGAGGTTGGGACTCAGTGTGATGGAGTGTCAGCAAGAGACACACTTATCAATGTTTGACCAGGGACTCATTATCACCATGACAACATGCTGCAGCTCTATTTCGACACCGGCAGCAAAAACAACAACAACAACAACAACAACAAACAGACACAACCCAAAGTCGTCAGCAGCAACAACAGGAAAAATATTGAAACAGTGTCTGTCTCCTAGACTTTCCTCAAAGACATTTAAAAATAAATTATTCAGACGCCTTTGTTGTTGTTTCTTACCCTTTATCAAGCTTCTTCCTAATTCTTATATTGCAGATGAGTTTAACCTAAAACTAAGAATATGTTCCATTGCATTTCACCAGTCACAGACTCATGTTTGTGATGACATTGACAAGAAACCTTGTGTCAGCAGGAAAATCACATCTGTATTGAATACATTAATAACGAGTATAGGAGCCTAAATGCATTTAAGCTGATGTTTTAACAATTAAAATGAAATTATCAAGGTTCATGGTATATCAAGGGGAATTTACACAATGATTTAAGAGGAGTTGAAAGAAGTATTTATCGTTGTGTATTAAGATAACTGTATATCTTGCACTTGAGGTGTATACCTGACTTAGCATGTTTACCGGTTTCATTTATATAATTCTGTAATAAACTGAATATATTAAATATAAACACAATACTTTTGTTTTTGCTCCCATTTTTCATGAGCTGAACTCAAAAATCTGAGACTTTTCCTATGTACACAAAATCTCTATTTCCCTCAAATATTGTTCATAAATGTGTCTAAACCTGTGTCAGTGAGCACTTCTCCTTTGCCGAGAAAATCCATCCACCTCAAAGGTGAGGCATATAAAGATGCTGATTCGACAGCATGATTATTGCACACGTGTGTCTTAGACTGGCCACAATAAAAGGCCACTGTAAATGTGAAATTTTACTGTATTGGGGGCGGTTAGAAAACCAGTCAGTATCTGGTGTGACCACCATTTGCCTCACGCAGTGCAACACATCTTTGCAAAGAACTGATCAGGCTGTTGATTGTGGCCTGTGGAATGTTGGTCCACTCCTCTTCAATGGCTGGGCCAAGTTGTCGGATATTGGCAGGAATTGGAACACACTGTCATATACGTGGATCCAGAGCATCCCAAACATACTCAATGGGTGACATGTCTGGTGAGTATACTGGCCGTGCAAGAACTGGGATGCTTTCAGCTTCCAGGAGTTGTCTACAGATCCTTGCAACATGGGGCCGTGCATTATCATGCTGCAACATGAGGTGATAGTCGTGGATGAATGACACAACAATGGGCGTCAGGATCTCTTCACGGTATCTCTGTGTATTCAAAATGCCATCAATAAAATGCACCTATGTTTGTTGTCCATAACATACACCTGTCCAAACCATAACCTCACTGTTACCATGGGCCACTTAATTCACAATGTTGACATCAGCAAACCGCTCACCCACACAACACCATACACGTTGTCTGCCATCTGCCCTGTACAGTGAAAACTGGGATTCATGCATGAAGAGAACAACTCTCCAAAGTGCCAGTCGCCATCGAATGTGAGCATTTGCCCACTCAAGTTGGTTACGACAACAAACTGCACTGAGGTGGAGACCCCGATGAGAACGATGAGCATGCGGATGAGCTTCCCTGAGATGGTTTCTGACAATTTGTGCAGAAATTCTTTGGTTATGCAAACCGATTGTTGCAGCAGCTGTCTGGGTGGCTGGTCTCAGACGACCTTGGAGATGAAGATGCTGGATGTGGAGGTCCTGGGCTGGTGAGGTTACACGTGGTCTGCAGATGTGAGGCCGGTTGGATGTACTGCCAAACTCTCTGAAATGCCTTTCAAGATGGCTTATGGTACAGAAATGAACATTCAATTCATGGGCAACAGCTCTGGTGAACATTCCTGCAGTCAGCATGCCAACTGCACACTCCCTCAAAACTTGTGACGCATGTGGCATTGTGCTGTGTAATAAAACTGTACATTTCCAGTGACCTTTTATTGTGGCCAGCCTAAGGCACACCTGTGCAATGATCATGCTGTCTAATCAGCATCTTTATATGCCACACCTCTAAGGTGGATGGATTATCTCGGCAAAGGGGAAGTGCTCACTAACACAGATTTAGACACATTTGTGATCAATATTTAAGAGAAATAGGCCTTATGTGTACATAGAAAAAGTCTCAGATCTTTGAGTTCAGCTCATGAAAAATGGGAGCAAAAACAAAAATATTGTGTTTATATTTTTGTTCAGTGTATGTGGAAATAGGTGGCTGTGATCATTGCTTGCCAGGAACAGTGCAGATGTAACTGTCTGGTGACTTAGGGGGATAGGGATGTGGATAGCCAGGTCAAAATCAGCTATTGATAGTGGAATCATACATTTTTTGACCTCTGTTTCTTGCATTATGTGGGAATTTAAGTAAACAGTTCAACTTTATAAAATGGATTCTTTTGTTGATGTGAATTGCCAAGGGAGGAATTTTCTGAATGTCAAGCTGATGTCTTCATGAGTTGAAACCTCCAACATGACTGTAATTAATGTATGACTGTACAGCATCTTAGCATTCTGGCACACAGTGTCCTCTCTGTGCATCTGTGACTAATTCCAGGGTGTGTTTAGCCTAGCTTAGCACAAAGACTTGAAGCAGGGGGAACCTGTTAGTTTTGTTCTATCACAAGGCATAAAGTCCATCTTTGAACAACTTCAGCAAATCTGCTAGATTTATATATATCTTAAACACATTTATAATTCGAAATGTCAAAATAAGACACTGTGGTTTATGTCATTTTAGCAGCAAGTAACTACACAAAGAAACATTCAGTTAAGTGGAGGAACAGTTGATGGTCATAGTTTTCAACATAGTTTTACCAAATTACCAGGTCTTAAAAAGAAAAGAAGAAAAATGTATGGAAACTGAACACTGGTAGGCGTGAGTGCAACATAGGACAGAAAAAAAACAACTGTCCACATAGGGCAGACTATGTACAATATGTGCTCAACACATTACAACTATCCATTAATGAGAAGCCAGAGACAGCCAAATCCTTTAGATATCCATGTGCGAACATATGGTTATCATGGGATTTTTGGCTGGCTGTCTACTGTCAACTAAGCATGTGCTACAGAATCAGCAAATCACAAGCTACAAGATATAACCAACCATGCCTCCCAGAAATGATGGCACCATGCAATTAATCAGCATTCTGATGATGTTTGGGATGATGTTTTTTTTTCTTTCTGTGATGTAGTCTTTAAGCTAAAGTAATTGCTCTACTGAACTGATTCTGGGGTGAAAAATGCCAGAATGTGATTTAAAACGATGCACTGACTAGGCCCTTCTACACTGACGTTTATCATCACACTTGTCATTTTGTATGTGCTCAACTGAGCCCAACAGCTTGGATGTCTTTCTGGAGACACTGTACAGAAATTTCCCCAACTATCCCTTTTATTAAGAGATATGTTGTCTCCCAGCTCTCTATGATAACCACTTTGTCACTCCAACTTATAACACTCCTTGCCGTTGAAGGGAGGGAAACTGCGCAGACTGCTTGCTCATGATCTTAAGGAAACTTTGGATTCTTGGTTTCTCTGTTCTCTGTTTAAAACGTGTATGGTCTTCACCTTACTATGTGAAGTGCTATAAGATTACTAATGTTTGAATTGGTGCTATATCAAAAAAACTGAATTTTACACAAGGGGTTTAAGTGAAATTAAAAAGAGATTCCTCACAACTTTGTCATGTGTTAACATCTGGGCTCAGCTCTGTTTTTGAGCCTGCAGCTTTTCACACCTCCCACTGTAAACAACAGAGCCATGGAAACATCAAGCATCTCATTTGGCAGGTCGGCACAGTTGTGCAGGTGAGCTGTCGGGCAAACACCTCGGATAATCGCCGTGTTGGATCTGGTTTCCTGCTGCTGTCATCCTATCCTTCTCCCTGGGAAACCTACTACTCATGGAGACAACACTCTGTGGACGCTGTCAGCGAAGACAAGAACTCCTGAGACAAAACCACGTCCATTGTTTCTCCAAACAAAGTTATCCCACGCCACTGAAAATTAGACAAAAACCTTCAGATGTTCTTTTTGTTAAATGTAACGTAATGGAGGAATTTGAAATGACATGACCTTCATTTATCTCTGTAGAACAGGGGTGTCCAACAGGCACATCCAGAGGTGGGGGCAGAGGGTGCACACATCTTTATAGTGATCTCTATTATAACTAGCTAACTGGGATCCAAAAAAACATGTTTTAAAATATGTATCAGTGGTAGAGCTTTGTGGACACAGAGGCACTAAAAGACACACTACCAAAATAAAATAAAAAAAAAAAGATTTCCCTCCAGGTCATGGTCCATCCAGCCCGATTGACACACTGGCCCGCTGCTCTGGGATTCAGTTTCCACAGAATGATGCAACCTGAGCTGTGGGCAAATTCCTCCTTTTCCCCTCTGCTCCATTGTCCTGCTGATGGTGTTATTAGATAATGGGCTGTCTGCCGGGGAGACACTGTGCTATCGAATCTTCAGGTCAGTCAGCAGAGCGTTGAATACTTCATGATAAGATGATAAGTGCTACAGTCCTGGAACCATAACCAAAGTGATCGTTAGAGTATGCTGCCCAAACATTTACTCTTAGCTCCATATCCACTGACACCAACAGTATCATCAGAGCATTAATGAATGAATGTAGCTTAAAGTCCTGCCTGTGTCACTCAGAGGCTGCAGTGCCACAACATGAACAGCCATCCATCCATCCATCCATCCATCCTTTATCTATACACCGCTTAATCCTCACTAGGGTCGCGGGGGGGCTGGAGTCTATCCCAGCTGACTTAGGGCGAAGGCAGGGGACACCCTGGACAGGCCGCCAGTCTATCGCAGGGCCACACTTAGAGACAGACAACCAAGCACACTCACATTCACACCAATTTAGAATCACCAATTAACCTCAACATGTTTTTGGACCTTGTGGAAGGAAGCGGGAGAACCCGGAGAGAACCCACGCTGCACGGGGAGAACATGCAAACTCCACGCAGAAAGAACCGGCAACCTTCTTGCTGCAAGGCAACAGTACTACCAACTGCACCACCCTGCAGCCCATTATTTGACATACAAGTGTTATTTCACAGGGTTGTATTTACTTCTGTTGTGTAATGCAACATTGCTGACTGCTGTCCTAACATTTTTCCTCAGGATTATTTCAGACCTGAAAGTTGCTCTGCTTGTGGTCTGTGATCAACAATAATGAGCATGGAGCAGCCCAACAGATTTAGTAGCTGATGGGCAGATAATGAAGTCCAATCTTTGTTGCCTATTTTTGCAGAGGGTGACCTTCAGGAACTGGAAACTGTGGTGCTTTTGATACGTTAGTAGACCAATCTGCTTTATCTTTCCAGGTCTTTAGCCCTGTCGTGGACATTCAAATCACTATGTGCTGGAGGAACCTTTACCCCTGGGAAAATTCTTGGACATTGGTTTTTGGGAAATTAAACTTCTGGGAGCATTTGGTGAAAAAGAAAAATCTGTAACTGTGCATAATACTGGCTCTTTAATTTTCCCTTTTAAAACTCAGGAAGAGCTCAGTTTCTTTGTTTTCCCCAGAGAAACAAGGGTCTAAATGAAGTTTCATGGAGTTTGTTTTATGGAATGATATGGAGCTCATTATCTCACTCAGGGACTCTTTTGCAGCAGTGACTTAAAGGCAGGAGTTTAAGTTACCAGATAGTCTGTGACTAGTAAACCAGCCAAACCAGCCTACTTATGTCTGACAGGTGTGCTGTCGAGAAAGTCAACAAAGACTAATGGTCTTTTACCAGTTAGACCACTGAGGCCAGCTCGGTCTGGCGTGGCTCATTATGGAAACTGTCAGTATGCTGGTGTCTAATTGCTGTTGTTGTTGCTGAGCTGTTAAAACCGTTTGGTGCACAACATGGGTCCAGAAGGACCTGACAGAGTTTTTATGTGCTACATCTTTTCAATAAATTAATTCAGTATCATCATTCAGTATTCCAGGCATTCCTCAATTAACTTGTTTTTGATCATAATACATCCTTATTTTATTTTTTCCTTTCCTACTTTTTGAGTAAAAACACTTTTTGTATCATTATCCCTCTAATGCACAACATGGGTCAAAAAGGACGGCATGCATTTGCAGTTATTTCATGTATGCCTGAGTGTTTCTAGGCTATATCTTTGAAATTAATGTGTTTTATTATTTACTATTTCAAGTATTCAGTAAATATGCTTTTTTTTGTTGTTAAGCACAGATCATCATATTTATTTTTCCTTTCTTACTTTATGAGCTGGCATAGCTTTTGTATGTCTACATCAAGTTTACGCGTGACATGACCCACATGAATTTAGTCAAGTATTTAGTGGGAACCTTTGAAATTTTTACATTTTTTACTGTGAACACCTATTCACCTGCCACACATTTCACAGATCATCACAGCACATTTGACATCTATAAGTCTTGTTTAATAATTATTCTAATCTTACCTAAGAAGACATTTGATGATGTGAAAGATAACTGTCTTTATTAATTGATTAGATTTCAGTTACCTTCAGAATAAGCACATTACTTGTCAGAAAGGGAAATATTTTCAATACTATTAGCTTGCTAGCTGTTGACATATTCTATTGTTGTTAGCTAAGCTATCTTAGGGAGGTCACCAAAATAAAACAAATGAGTGTGACAGTTAACAGATCCTGTCACCTGAAATGCTTCTAAGTGATAATGCGCCCTGGCTGCCGCACTATCTGGTCTGCCTCTTAGGCGACGTGGTTAGTCCAAATGACTCGTACCCGAGAGTCTGGGATTTGAAACCTGCCCAGGGCTGCCACACCAGAAATGCACATTGATGTGCATTTGAAAATATTTGGTGCTTTCGATACTCTGTATTCAGAGATTTTGCAGATTTACTGCTTAAATGGTTGTAGAGATGCTGTATGAGGGACCAGTTGATGAAGATGAGGAGGAATTTGGTTGTAATTCTGAGTCTGAACACTCTGGTGATGATGATGACCCAGTCTATGCCTCAGGGTCACGCTGGAGTGGTGGGTCTGTCTTGGAATCCTGCTGTCCTGAATGAAGAAGACTCATCTGATGAGTCCTCTGAAGAGGAAATTCAGACCCAGTCAAACATCCATCCATCCATCCATAATCTATATACTGCTTAAGCCTAACTAGGGTAATTTAAAATCACGCTTGGATAAACAGGTCATTTTGGACCCATGTTAAGCTGATGGATTGCTGTCAGCTGGGTCTTTATATACAGAAACTATGACAAAACACATCAAATCACATACTAAAGGCTAACAGATACAAAGATATTAACCCCCAGTTTCTTAAGGAAGCTCTTCAACAAGCTGCTACAAGCTAAATTACCGCTAATAAAAATAAAATCATCCCATAGCTTGTAAATCCCTGTTCAGTCGATTATTCTTGACAGTTGTACACCTGGTTTAGATTGAATATATTTGTTTGCCTCACATCTTTGTTCATATTTTCACTGTGCTAAAGACACCATTAAAACATCTGTAGATGCTTTCTTTTTAATGTTATATGCATTTCAACATGTACCGTGGCATATTTGGTATTGTTGAACAAGGTGTGGGTGCACAGCGTGAGTTTGTAATGACTGGTTTCTAGACTGCTTTCAGAGAAGAACAACAGATCTGATGTAGGTCACGTTCCTGATAAAGTATCTTAGGGACTTTTAATGGGTTTGTCGTTGGTTAACGTCACTGTGACTTCAGACACACATATCAGACTTTCAGATCAAAGATGAGACTTTTGATAAAGCACCAGTACATGCAACACACCCTCTGTTTCTGTCATGGATGGTGCTGCATATGAAGCAACACTAATGTACACAGTGATACAAGACAATGTTTGTTATTGTCAGTGACAATGATAGCACAGACACAGCTCAAAAATCTGTACTTATGGATTCTCTTTTAACACACCATTTGACATTTTTGTGCATCTTCCCTGAAGGGTAATCACAAACATCAGACATGGATTGTTATAAATGCGTTTAAGGAAGTCTGCACAATCTAAAATCTCAGCACACTTTGGCCTCAACTCACCCATTGACTTGAAAAACATTTTTTTTTAAATGAAACACACACACACACACACACACACACACAGAGAGAGAGAGAGAGAGAGAGAGAGAGAGAGAGAGAGAGAGAGAGAGTGTGTCATCAACAAAAGTTTACATACACTTTAATTCAGTTCAATTCTATTTAATTTTTTTTGAAAAGACTTTTTCTGACCCCAAGGCAGAACAGTTGCAACAACTGAACAATAGTACTAGCAGCCATGTGGTGGTTAAAATAGGATAAATAAAGTAAAATAAAACATAGAATATGCTAAGATAGAAAATAAAAGTTAAATATTGTACTGACATTAATGATCTAAAAAAAAAAAAAAAACTAAAATGGGCAGAGGTGCCAGATGACTGCGTGAATTTAGCACGGTTAAATATGGGACAGAACCACAGTGTTTACATGTAAAGTCCATGTGTTTCATGGTAGATTTGAGCTGCCAGTGACTCCTACAACTTCTAATGTTCTGATGGAACTACTGAAACAAATAAATCTTCGTCACAAAAATCCGATCATACATTTTAGTGGTGTCATAGATTTGTTATAGATCTTCTCAATATATCCAAATATACCTGCAGAAATTATATTAGTATTTAGTGACCATCCACAAGCTTCTGATGAGCTTATGGTTGCATCTTGGACCACTCCTCTCGACAGAATTAGTGCAGTTCAACTCATTGTGTTTGTGTTTCTCCGGTGTGTCGCCGCCACCTGTCGGTCAGAAGCGGTACTGCTCGGTGCGCCGTTAGTCTCAGTATTACGGTGTGTAGCGGTCGGTGATGCTCAGACATGGCAGCGGCCGGTAAAAGCACCCCTGCCGTGAAAAGCACCCCCCAGTGACAGTCATTCGCCTGTAGGTGGCGTGTATCCATGTTTACTGCCCTTAAGAATTCACCAATAGTCTGTATCAGCCTGTTGATAAAGAAAATGAACATTTAAATAAAGTCTAACAATAATATGTAACGGTCTGTACATGTTCACGTGGAAATAATGAGAACAACAGAGACAGATTTGGTTTGAGCATACTGTGAAAAGTTAAAAATACTGGATCTACTGGGGGGGGGGTGCATATTACCCATTACCAGAATATGCACACCCCCCACCAGTAAATCTGTCCCTGTTGTTGTCATTATTTCCACGTGACCATGTACAGACCGGTAAATATTACTGTAAGACTTATTTTATTTTCATCTCCAGGCGAATGGATATCACTGGGCTCCTTGAGAGGGGGCGCTTTTCACGGCAAGTGTGCTTTTTTCGGCACAACACCGGAACACAGCAGCAGCAGCAGCAGCTCCACAGCTCAGCGTGAGTCTATTTCTCTGCTTTTATCTGACTAAAACCCTCAACAAGGACCCACAAGGGTCCATAGTTAGCCTGTCAGTTAGCATGCTGCTAACCACCGACAGTACTCTCGGTAGCAGTGATCTTTGATTCCCGGTCCGGCGGAGCGCAGGCTAAACACGGCTACGGGAAAAGGCAAGCTGTCGACACTTTCCAGGTATTTCTGTTTAATCCTCTGAATTTGTAGTGAGGCTCAGACCGCACAGATGTTTTTCATGGAGCAAACACACCGTGTTGTTTTCCCAGCGGCTCACCTGACCGATGTATTGATCCAAGCGGGATCAGAGACACGCTGCTGGTCATTAGCATTTTACTTATTACTTCACAAAGAGTACAAATGATTGTACTGTGAAATCTGAGCGATGGAAGCGGACTGTATGCTGTATGACTCAGTAAATGGGACATGTAGTGTTAGGCCAAGTTGACAACACATTCATCAGTCAGCATGCAGTTACTGTACAAAATCACATGTGGCACTATTTTATAACTTAACCTGCATAGCTTTGGAAAAAAAAAAATCCAAACGCAGCTTGCCAATGTTGTTTTTTCTGACATGGAGAGAAAGCTAAACATCTCATTTCTATTGTTTTGTCAGTTAAGAAAAAGGTTGAACTTCAGGAAAAAGTTTTTGAGCTGGTTACCTGGTCTATCAACTAGTTTATTCCTGTCATAGTGAGGTGGAGCTTGAAGAGAAACTGGTCAGAGGATGTGTGGGCCTGCCACTCACAGCTACTGTCTTTATCTATTGTTTTCTCATTTAAATTTAAATATATTCAAATGTTTTTTAAAGTGTTGTTTATCTGTTAAGTTTTTATTTCCAGTGCTTCATTTATCCCAAAACATCTCTGTTAATAATCTAGCCAGTGTTTATAAGTCACTATATAGTAACTTGGTGAATATGTCATTTTTTTTGTTTGTTTTGTTTTGTTTTTTCAATGTGCTTATATTTTGTGACCTTTGACAGCTGTCTGTTCTGACATGTTTTGTATTTTTTGTTTAGCACATTCATCCAATAGCTTGGAAATCCCTGTTCAGTTGATTATTCTATGACAGATGTACACCAGCGTGAATCTACTGGTTTATCATTTTGACTCTGCTGAAAACACCATGTTGACAGCTTTTTGCATTATAAGAGTGCAAAAATCAAACAGTGTGCTCCAGCCCCCCTTTTTTCTACTTGAAATAAATAAATAAAATAATAATAATAATAATAATAATAATAATAATAATAATAATAATAATAATAATAATAACAACAACAGACAACAGTGTTCTTCTACTTCATGCTACCAGAAACCAAAGGGAAGTGTCAGGAAGACATCTCCATTTGAACAGGTGGAGCTGACCACAAATGTCAAACTTTTTGTGGTGGTACCAAACAGGTCTAACTGGAACACCAGTCAAGCTTCCTTCAAGTTCAAAAACCCACAGGTGGCACGTGGAAAAACAAGACTGAGCTGATGGCATGCTGTCTGCTGGTAAATGAGTTAGTGCTGTAGTCAGGCATGTGGATGATCACAACCCCACCCTTTGTCATCTAAGAATTCGTTTCAGATAGCGCTGAATGTCAAACACACCTATGCCCCAAGGTGTCCACCAACCTCGCAGCATTGACAGCTTCATTACCTCACACTGACTTGCGATTTCTGGTCTCTGACTCCGCTGTCCATGTGCCCATTATTATTTCTAATATAATACGTTCTTGGTTGTCTCATCACATCCATTCAGTTGTAGAGATGCCATGTGTTGCAACACCAAATAGTTACTCTCCTATGTTAAAAAGAATAATAGAATTGAATAAAAAATATGACATGTTTTTATATTTTTGTGCAGTTTAAATCTGTCTCACATGCCTCGATAAGGCATGAAAGCGTTGTTGAGGTCTGTGATTGTTCCTCTGTGAAGGGTTCCAGTGAAAGAAACAACAATAATGGATTGCAAAGTGATTTCAACTGATGATGTCTGAAACTAAGTTTGACAAATCATGCAGATTACTTACAAATGTAGTCTTTTTAGAATTAAATTTCCTTTTTGTGTCGCAGTCCTTCCCCAACAGCTTCGTGAAGAAACACTGAGGAAATTTGAAGTACTGCAATAAAAAGACATTTTGCAACATCGTTAATTAAATTGTACATCGAAGACTGTTCAAGCCTCATTAAAAAAATCAGCTGAATTATACTGTGGATGGCAGATTTCGTCCCCCTCTCCCTCTCACTTGCATTGACGTCACTTTACGGCCTGCCTGTACAACAATCACTAACTCTGCTTGTGTAAATTTAGGTGTGTCAATGTTGATTCAAGACAGACAAGGAAAATGTGACAGACAAGGAAAGTGTGACCATATCATTTTAGTTTTTTTTTTTTTTTTACAGAATCTGGTTAGAGGAAAAGGTCAAATTTGTTTTGCAAATGTTTAAGTAACACATGCTATTGAAACAGGAAGTTTACATACACTGGAAGAAAAGACACATAACCTTTTTTTCTCAGTTTCTGACATCAAATCAAACTAAACTTTCCTGTTTTGTGTCAATTAGGACTACCAAAATAATTTCTATTTGCTAAATGCCAGAAAAATGAGAGAGAAATTTTTTTAAAGAATTTTGTATTACTTTCTTCAAAGTCAGAAGTTTACATACATTTCCTTAGCATTTGGTAGCATTGCCTTTAAACTGTATGACTTTGGTCAAATGTTTTGGGTTTTCTTCCACAAGCGTCTCACAATAGTTTGATGAGTTCTGGCCCATTCCTCCTGACAGAACTGGTGGAACTGAGTCAGGTTTATTGGTCACCTTGCTCCACATGTCTTGTCAGCTCTGCCCATACATTTTCTACAGGATTGAGATCAGAACTTTCTGATGGCCACTCTAAAAGATTGACTTTGTTGTCCTTAGAACACTTTGCAATTAATTTGGCGGTATGTTTAGGGTCATTGTCTTTTTGAAGACCCATTTGCACCCAAGCTTTAACTTCCTGGCTGATGTCTTGAGATGTTGCTTCAATATTTCCACATAATGTTCTTTCCTCATGATGCCATCTGTTTTGTGAAGTGCATCAGTCCCTCCTGCAGCAAAACATGATGCTGCCACCCCCATACTTCACAGTTGGGATGGTGTTCTCGTCCCATGTGATTTGTTCATGGACAGACAATGGTTTCTGTTTCTTGTTTGTTTGTTTTACAGTTTCTAGCTCTTTCCAATGGAGTCATTTTGGCATTTTTTAAAGTTTAACTAAGATTAAGATTAATTGTAGAGTTTTGTCACTGAATATATAAAGATCTTTTACATGTAACTCGATAAAACTGTGTCAAAACTTTTAACTAGTAAGACATCTGATATTATTTGCAATTAATATAAACAGTGACGTTGACTTTGGACAGCTGATAGCAATAACTGATAAAAACTTCTTGTCTCTTTCTGCAGACAACAGAGCAACAAGGACTAAGCTGAAACTCTCCCGTTTGTTTACAAGAACAAGTGCCAACACCTGACTCGTTTTCCACCGAGCTATCGATTTACGGAAGAGTCATCTGGTTTCACTGCTGTGGTCAGTGCAGTAGGTCTTCCAAAGCAAACGGTGACACTGTAACTGTTGATGTAAAGCCTACGGAGCAGACCTCCTATGTTTGAGTTCATTCTGTCACGCTGTGTTTCCTGCCAACTGTTTCACCTATGCCTCGATGGAAAGCATTCTTCAGTCAGTACCTGCGATGGTCCAGCACTGTCACTCAAGCCCTCGCCTTGTCCATCATCACATTTTGCGTTGTTCTTCCTCTGTGCTGCCATCGACTTCTGTACTCTTACTTCTTCATCAGGTCCATGTATCTGGACTCAATGAGCGAGGATGTTCTACAGGAAAGCCTTAAGCAGGGCCAGGACGCTCTGCACTTCTGGCAGAGCGCTTCCACTGGGGCGTCGCTTAGATTCATTGATATGGCTCAGCATCCTGAGCTGCTGGTCACCGTGGTAACAGCCAGGCGTAACGAGGGGCGGGATTTCCACTACCTGCTCCAGGTGATGCAGCAGCTGAGTGTCATGGTGGGAGGCTGTGGGGAACGGCGGTGTGCAGAGGTGCTGGTTTGTGATGTGGAAAGTGGCCTCCAAGAAAACCAGGATGCCAAACTGCTGGAGTCCCACTTCAGGGTGATCCGGCGTTTGCCTGAGGAGCAGCAGAACCGGGAACGAGTCAACATCTTTGAAAGAGAGAAGAGGGATTATGTCTTTTGTATCCGCAAGGGATGGGAGCTGGTGAAGCCCAAAAACATGGTTATCCTGGAAGATGATGCTTTGCCAAGACAGGACTTCTTCACAGTTATAAAGGACCTCCTGTCCCGTCGATTCGCCCTCCACACTCTTTACATCAAGCTATATCACCCTGAAAGGCTGCAACGCTACTGGAACCCTGAGCCATACCGCATCCTGGAGTGGGTGGGGCTTGGGCTGGTCGGAGCGACGGCCCTTCTCCTCACTTTGCCTTACTGGAACCCTTGCTCTTTCTCCTTCACATTGTCGGCCAACCACCTCCTCTTCTTCACCCTCTACTTTATGGCTGTTGCAGAGCTGCTGGGGCGGCACTACCTCCTGGAGGCCCGGAGATTTGCCCCACAGCTCTATGCTGTCTCGCCGGCCACCGAGTGCTGTACCCCAGCCATGCTCTTCCCTGGCAATGCTTCTCTTAGGGTGGCCGAGTATCTGGATGGGTCGTTCTGCATCAAAGGGAACGCCAAAGACATAGTTTTGTATCAGATTGCCAGGACAGTACCCGGGGAAAGTTCTCACAGTGTGGAGCCCAACCTCATCACCCACATCGGTGCCTATTCGTCAGTGCGGCCCAACCCATCCAGGCCCAAGCTCCTCTGACAGAACCAGGAGGAGGTGGAGGACTCAGTCTAACCCAGTGCAATGAAGTTAGACTTAATCAGGTTCCTCCCCAGCTGATTCTGCTTTTTTTCTGCCATGTGACCTTCTGGACTCTAGAGGTTTAAACACATAGCTCAGTGAGTGATGGTTTGGTGATTTGTAGGTGAAAAGTATCAAGACATCTAAGTTGAGAATTTAATTTTAGATGTGTAGGTTCCAGCTTGCAGCTTGTCCACATAGGGGGTGTTTCAGTCGAGGTTTTCAGTCTTTTGTCTCACATGTGCATCTGACGGCTAACAAACACTTTTATTTAATAGTGATAAGGGCCTGATTAGAGTCTTTACTGCTTTGACAGATGTCCAACCACACTGGAAAGCGATTGTGTTAATGCATGAAGATGGAAAGAACAGCCAGCCATCATAGACAGGACGGGATGCAGTATTGTTGAAAAACATGGCCAGTGGTGCACATTTTCAGCCAGAGTCTTCAGAAAGCAGTGTATTCAGGTGTACACATGAAAAGTGTCATATGTAGTTGAGTAACAAATGAAAAAAGAGACCTAGAAAGAGGAGTATGCAAGTCATCACAGCTGGCCTGCAGTGACCATGTACCCTCAGTAATGTAACTGAACGCATCATGTGTAGACACAGCCAGAGGACTCAAGTTCTTAATGCATTGCAGACATACGGTTCACACTGTATAGGCTGTGTGGACTGAGAATCAAAATTGTTTTGAGGTTGTCTTCAGTAAGCTTGAATGGCAGAAAGTGCCACCCAGTTGTGGTTTGGCACTAGGCACAGCTTAAACACTCATGCATCTCTTCACCATCAAATCACAAAATACTGCTCTCACTGAGTTGCCTTTTCAGTGTGGGACCAGACCAAACGTATATCTTCATGCTGGAAATCTTCCTTCATCAGTTTTGGTGACTATTCAGGTGGGAGTTTACTCTGCTGTCAGGATTGGTTTACTCCTTTGTTCATAAAACTATTTACCAAGCTATCAGATACTGTCAGAATTCCTCCTTCTCTGCTTTTCAAAGATACAGATTCTTCATTAAACAACCAGTTTGTGGATGCGATTTTAAAAAAAGGTTCAATTATGAGATTTTGTGATAATTTAAATTCATCACTTCACATTTCACAGACAAAATGAATAATAGAATTTGCAGAAGAGTGCAATAGTGATCACTTAATTTGGTTGTGTCTGTCTTGAAAACAGGAAGCTGTGGGAAGATTGTGGTTGAAAAATTGTGAGCAAATCCTTTAGAGAACTAAGCTGAAGAGGGTGATGTCAAAATGTTTATCGCCCTGAAGTTTGTTTATGTCATTGTGTTAGGTCCACATTAATCCAGCCGAGGATCCACTGAGAAATTCATGCTTTAGGACAAGATGTTTGATTCTGGCCTTTTTAGTCTTTAACAGTCATGTTTATGTGACAAAACCTGCTCCTGAACTCACATCTGGACACAACGTGTTACCCCACAATACAGTAGAATAGAGCACTGTAACACTGTCATTGGACGGCTGTTGGAGGTGAGACTACCACACCAGGGTAAGACTGACAGCACAAAGCTCAACGTTTGTGAGATGTACAGAGCAGTAACGCAACCAAACCTTCATTCTGATATGCTGAAAGTTTCCTGTTGACCTCTATACTAACACTCTGGCATTTTAGATTAATCGCAAAGCTCCACAGAAAGTGGCAGACTTATTATTAAAAGTGATAGTACTTTTTCACGAAATGGTTTTGCACAGTAGACAAAAGTAGCTTCTCTTTTCCGGCTGATGATTGTGTTCAGTTGACAACATTCTCTGTCAGAGCGAGGTGGCTGCATCAGTCGGCCAGGCTGATAATCGGTCGACTGTTATTAGCTTCTATGACCCAATAGTCTGGTAGTTACCATATATGTTATTGGTTTTGTTGTTGGTTTTTTGTGTTGCTGGAGTTTACTTTCCATATTTGAACACAAATTAGCTTCACTGCAGGAGTTGCTTTAAGAAACCGAGGCCTGTTTATGAGACATAAACCGAGCATTTCACTGACCACTCTGTATGATTGAATGTGCCTTTATTGTTTTTGACTTTGAATATTATTATATGTTTCCCTTCCTAGTGCATTTAATTTCTACATATGTGTATAAAATAATTATGATCAATTTAAACTTGATGATGTTCATGGATAGCTGCCAAAGTAAAACCATCAGGCCTATAAGGGTTCCCCAGTCTGCCGCCAGTGACTCAAAGTGGTTCCTGTTGGCAACCGTAAACCGCCAAATGAAAACAGAATTGGATGTAAAGATTTACAAATAAATAAATAAAAAGATTTTAATACTGACAGATGAAAAAGATTATAGTGTTAAGATGATGTTTCTGAGGAATATTGTGTTCACACTAAAATGACAAAACACACAAGTTGTTTTAAACTGTATATTTTAAAGGACTTGTTCCACATTTAAGGAAAAGAAATCATTTGCTTGGTTTGGAGTCCTATGTTCAGATACCAATGTTTGTATGATGAATACGAAGCTCTGCCTGCAGCTGGTTAGCGTAGCTTAGCATAAAGACTAGAAAGGAGAAAACAAATGTTCACAAGTAACAAAGTCCATCTGTCAACAGCTTTGAGGCTCAGTATATCTTGTATTGCAGCAAAACCCTTAAATAGGTGTACAAATGAAAAAGCGGGTTACAGGTAAACAACAGAACTGAGTCTATATGTGTGCAATATCACTTTCATGTCAACAGATTTAAAAAATGTATCACCTTACAGTAATTGCAGTGTTTCTCATTTGAAACTACAAACAGTTTAAGTTTACTATGTTAAAATACAGGCCCCACAGCAGGAACTCATTGTAACAAACATCTATACACCTTACATTTCTGAGATTATGATTTTTTTCCCAGTACTTTGTATGTTTACCTTTATTTCTGATGACAGAATCAGTTCTTCTCATCATGCAGGATATCAAATTTCTTGAGAGATGTCATAGTTTCCACTTTATTTTTTAGTAACTCTTGTGTGATTTTGGCAGTGTGTGCTGGATGATTATCATGCTGGAATATTCCTCTTCTGCCAACCATCAACAGATTGGGGGGTCATCTTGTCAGCCATTATTTATATTTACAGATACTCATGGTGCATCTATACATGTCATGCCCCTAATGCACTCACGCACCTTCATATCATCACACTACTACCTCTGTGCTTCACTGTAGAGACTATGCATTCACTGTGGTAGTCCTGGCCAGTTTCATGTCAAACATGCTGGACATCATATGAGCAAAACAGATGTTATTTATATTTATCTTGATCTTATTTGATCAATGACGTGCTCCTCGTATTCATCAGACTTCTTTCTGTGCTCTTTAGCAAAGTTTTATCCTGCTGCAAGAGTTGTTTTTTTTCTTGATGTTGTGAACTCTGATTCCTGAAAGCAGAACTGATTTTCAGTACAAACTTGTACAAGTTGGCACTGTATGTTGTGTCCTTTTAAGAGGACGACCACTTTTCCACTCGTCTGAAAAACACCTGACCAGCTAGGATGCAGACAGAGACAGCCATAGGTCCAGAACTAAAAAAATAACTGGTGTTCCCAACTAATTTTCTAACAATGTTTATGCAATTAGGCTGATTTTACATCACAGGTGTCCTCAATTTTGCTTCAGTGATTAAAGGTTTTGTCACTTGTCTGTCTGTAATTTCAGGTGTATTCACTTTTGTTGCTTTGAGTGTCTACTTTGGGCCCTGTATTTTTAGTAGTCCTTCTAAAGAATGAGTTTTTCATTTCAGGACATACTCTACAGTTCAACTTTGAGAACTACATTTATTGAATGGTGATAAAATTCTGAGTCATTTGTCATAGAAGTGATATTTCACAAGGGTGTATTTTGCTTCTGGCATGTGCTACTTGAGAGGTTTATAAAGGTGGACTTTGTTACCTCTGGACAGTGTCGAGACTGCCTCTGTTTCTCGTCTTTATGAGCTACGCTAGCTTCATATGTTACTGGACAGACATGAGAGTGGCTCGAATGTGACTCTTGGCCAGAGAGGAAGGAATTTCTCGAAATGTGGAATTACTTCTGAAAGGAATCATATCAGGTGTTGACTCATTCACATCAGCATGTAACAAGCTGACCTCTCAGTGAACAACAAATGAAAACATTGTCAATAATATGAAAAGTAGGTTTTATTTATACATTTCAGAAACAGGTTTTACAGTTTACACAGCTCTACATGAAGTCAAATCAAATCAGTGTGAATGTTTTCATTACAGTCCTTCAAATTTGAGTTGATATTTACCACATCAACGATTACATGTTCACAAATGAATAGTCCATAAACAAAAGAATTAGAATAACTCAAATATGTATTCAGTGTGCACTATCAATTAGTATTTCAACACCTAATCATAATCAAAGATGTATTGTCTATTTCTGAACTTTTCCTCCACTTTCTGCTCTGAAGGGAATCGAAGTGTTTGATGAGAAAATATATCAGTTGTTGAACTGCAGTTATACAGTTTTTATTTTGGTCACTATATTCACTTAAAAAGTCACAGCAACTTCACCAGATAAGTCTGCAGAAATAACATTTACATGTGGTTTGGTTTGGGTTTTATTCAGCCATACATGCATTATTCTGTATTTAAACAATACAACATTGCTGTGACTGCCCTTCATTCACTGCAACACAAATTTAGTTACACTTTGTTGTTGTGTGATTTTTTTTTCTTTTTTTTTCTTTTTAATGTTTCTGATGTGTTGTGTGATTTTTATTTTTTTTAATTTTTTTTTTTTACTTTTGAATGTTTCTGATGTGTTTTGTGATTTTTTTTCCCTTTCCCTGCAGTACAAATCACAAAAACATTTAAGAGACAGGCCCTGAATCCACAATCCAGCTGAGCAAAGATTGTTCTTTTAAAAGTGAATTAAGGCGACAATGTGACAGTGAAAACTCAAAGTTGAAAACACAACCAGTGTACCAGTTTCATCCAAATAAGACATTTGTTTTGTTTTGTTTTGTTTTTTTTCTCAGAAGAACAATACACATGAAATGTTTTGTCCTCCAGTTTTGATTTAGAGTTTTCACATCCTGTTTGGACTGAGACACTTTCTCTGTTTTCTACGTTTAAAACACAATAAATCACAGTTTGAAGTTACTTGTTGTTGAGGAGTTTGTATACCAGCTGTGATGCCTTTGTCATGAATCAACTGTGACTTTAAAAAAAGATGATGGTGAACAAAGCTATTTTAGTGTTCGTGCTGTGCTCAGCAGGAAAATATCTCTACTGCTCATAGACTTTATTTTTAACAGGCTGAACAAGTGTGATGGAAAGACAGACTACAGGCTTATCGAGCTAAGATGATTAATCATATTTTTGGATTTGTGAAGCCTTTGTACTGTACAAAGTTTAATGTCAGAGACATCATGTAAAAACAATTTACATTCCAATAGATTTGTATTTATTATATCAGGATTAGCCCATTGAGCCCAAAGCTAACCTGCTTTTCATGTTCCAAAACCAACATTCACAAGAACAAACTTAGGCCTGTACTACAAAGCGAGTTCAGCATACCCAGGATATCTTTTCACATTCGGCTTCACACATTTGATACGTGGTCACACAAAGCTGATAATCAACTCGCTAAGTGAAACCAGGGTTTCTGAAACTAAAATGATTTATTGAACATGTTCACATGAAAAGGGCAGTTTTTCCACCAGATGACTAAACACGGACAAATCTAGAGCTGCATATGTATCACAACAAAAGCAAACTGTTATCCAAAACCAACATGAGGATTTTACAACTAT